CTAGGTACATATGAATTACCAGACAAATCAAGAAGATATAAAAAAAATTTTAAATAAGCCAATATCAGTCAATGAAATTGAAAATGTAATTAAAAACCTACCAACAAAAGATTCACTGCTGAATGCTACAAGAAATTTAGACAAGACCTAATGCTGCTAACTTCTCAAACTCTTTAATGAAATTGAAAGGGAAGCAATACTCTCAAATTCATTCCTGGAAGTATTACCCTAATACCAACACCAGAGAAAGATCCAACCAAAGAATAAATAAAAAAAGACAACTAGAGGGCAATCTCCCTAGTGAACATAGATGCAAAATTCCTCAGTAAGATACTGGCAAATGGAATGCACCAAATCATCAGGAAGATTATACACCATGACCAAGGAGGATTCATCCAAAGGATGTAGAGCTGGTTCAACATATATAAATCAATAAATGTATTATACCATATTAACAGAGCCAAGGTCAAGAACTGTATGATCATCTCAATAGATGCAGAAAAAGCACGTGGCAAAGTCCAACACCCATTCATGGTAAAAACCCTACAGATTAAAACAAGCAAATTAAAATAATGCTGGGATTCCATCTCACTCCAGAAAGAATCATTATCATCAAGAAAATCAACTAAAAAGAAATGCTGGCCAGGCTATGGGATAAACGAACGCTTCTCCACTGTTGAGAGTATAGACTGGTGCAACCACTGTGGAAATCAGTGTGGAGGTCCCTCAAAAAACTAGGACTAGAGGTTCCATTCGATCCAGCTATTTTGCTTCTTGGTATCTTCTCAAAAGAATTAAAAGTATCATACCATAGTGATGTATGCACATTGATGTTTAGAGCAGCACGGTCTGTAATAGCTGCATCGTGGGAACAACCCAATTGCCCATCAACCGAGGAATGGATAAAAAAGATATGTTTTTTTAATACAATGGAATACTACTCAGCCATAAAGAGAGATAAACTTGAGACATTTATAACTAAATGGATGGACCTTGAGACCATACTTTTAAGGAAAATATAACAGATATGCATCTGTAAATATAGCATTGTTTCTCTGGTGTGAGAAACTGAAAGTGTAAATAAGGACCAAAATGCATAATACACATTGCAAAATAGGAAGAAATTGTTCAAAAGGGGAACGAGAGTGGAGGAAGAGGGAAAGGAAGAGAAAAGAAAAAAGTAGAAGGGCGTGGTGGCGCACACTTGTAATCCCAACACTTGAGAGGTTGAGACAGGAGGATGGTTGTGAGTTCGAGACCAGCCTGGGCTACAAAG